GTCGTCTGTTCTGATCATTGTACATGATTTAGAACTCGGCTACCGCTGACTCGGAGGCTAGCGAGGAGGACTACCTCGAGCGGTACCGTGTTCATGTGTCCAGCCTCCCTCCGTCCGCTGCCCCAGGCGGACCCCCGGGCAGCGCCGGCTCCTTGTCGGCGGCTGCCCTTTCTCCGTCCGCGGCCGCCCGCTTTGTGGCGGCAGCGGACGTCTCGACTGACAGTGGTCAGTCGGCTGCCTCCGGGTATCGCGTGTAAGGGATTTTCTTCCTCCTGCATGCTCCTGCTGCTTGTTGCTTGATTGCTTGACCTTTAGGCTGCTTGTCTGCGCGGCTTCGCGCTTGGGCTGGCGCTGCCGCGTCTGGGTGCCAGCAGTGCTGGTTCTTTTCGGGCTTGTGTTTTTTGTGTGTGTTTGTGCAGCTTCTCGCTGTGTGCTGTGTGCCTGCCGGTTCAGCTTGTTCCTGCTTTATTTTGCTTGAGGCACTTTTTACCTTCTGCCAGTAAATCCTATACAGCCTCCCTCCGTCCGCTGCCCCAGGCGGACCCCCGGGCAACGCCGGCTCCTTGTCGGCGGCTGCCCTTTCTCCGTCCGCGGCCGCCCGCTTTGTGCCGGCAGCGGACGTCTCGACTGACAGTGGTCAGTCGGCTGCCTCCGGGTATCGCGTGTAAGGGATTTTCTTCCTCCTGCATGCTCCTGCTGCTTGTTGCTTGATTGCTTGACCCTTAGGCTGCTTGTCTGCGCGGCTTCGCGCTTGGGCTGGCGATGCCGCGTCTGGGTGCCAGCCTACAGGATTTACTGGCAGAAGGTAACAGCAGTGCTGGTTCTTTTCGGGCTTGTGTTTTGTGTGTGTTTGTGCAGCTTCTCGCTGTGGACTGTGTGCCTGCCGGTTCAGCTTGTTCCTGCTTTGTTTTGCTTGAGGCACTTTTTACCTTCTGCCAGTAAATCCTATGCCCCCGTTGCCTCGGGCGACTCGACAAAGTCCGAGGAGGAGCTGTCCTCTGGCTCGAGGAGTGCTTGCGCCCGCAAGGGCGTCATGCGCCTCGCACCAGACAAGAGCGCCTCCAGCGTCAGCTGCATGGTGAGGCGCTGATAGGTGGCGGCGCGTTTGCGAGCCAAGACCTCAGCATCAGGTCCGTCATCAGGCACGAAGTGCCGACCAAACGCCGCATCCTCAAGAGGCATCGAGCGCTGAGCAATGATGTCCGCGAGATACCAGATGAAGTCGGAGACCTCCCGGGCCGGCAAAGATTCCTCCTGCTGCTTGTTGCTTGATTGCTTGACCCTTAGGCTGCTTGTCTGCGCGGCTTCGCGCTTGGGCTGGCGCTGCCGCGTCTGGGTGCCAGCAGTGCTGGTTCTTTTCGGGCTTGTGTTTTGTGTGTGTTTGTGCAGCTTCTCGCTGTGGACTGTGTGCCTGCCGGTTCAGCTTGTTCCTGCTTTGTTTTGCTTGAGGCACTTTTTACCTTCTGCCAGTAAATCCTATGCCCTCCTCGGGCGACTCGACAAAGTCCGAGGAGGAGCTGTCCTCTGGCTCGTGGAGTGCTTGCGCCCGCAAGGGCGTCATGCGCCTCGCACCAGACAAGAGCGCCTGCAGCGTCAGCTGCATAGTGAGGCGCTGATAGGCTTGTTTGCTTTGTTTTGCTTGAGGCACTTTTTCCCTTCTGCCAGTAAATCCATACACTTGGTGGCGGCGCGTTTGCGAGCCAAGACCTCAGCAGCAGGGCCGTCGTCAGGCACGAAGTGCCGACCAAACGCCGCATCCTCAAGAGGCATCGAGGCTTGCCGTCGAGCGCCGCTGAGCAATGATGTCCGCCAGATACCAGATGAAGCGGAGGAGCACGGTACCGCTCGAGGGGTCCCCTCCTTTTTACCTTCTGCCAGTAAATCTTCCAACCCTCCTACAGACTGTTGCTTGGCCCTTCCTGCTTGTCTGCGCGGCTTCGCGCGTGGGCTGGCCGAAGAGCTGTGTGCATGCAGTCTTAGCTTGGATGATCAGAGGTTTACTCGCAGAAGGTAAAAAGTGCCTCAAGCAAAACAAAGCAGGAACAAGCTAAACCTGCATGCAAGCCCGAAAAGAACCAGCGATCATAGGATTTACTGGCAGAAGGTAAAAAGTGCCTCAAGCAAAATAAAGCAGGAACAAGCTGAACCACACAGTCCACAGCGAGAAAGCTGCACAAACACACACAAAACACAAGCCCGAAAACAACCAGCACTGCTGGCACCCAGACGCGGCATCGCCAGCCCAAGCGCGAAGCCGCGCAGACAAGCAGCCTAAGGCTTTTTACCTTCTGCCAGTAAATCCGATCACTCAGGGTCAGGCAATCAAGCAACAAGCAGCAGGAGCATGCAGGAGGAAGAAAATCCCTTACACGCGATACCCGGAGGCAGCCGACTGACCACTGTCAGTCGAGACGTCCGCTGCCGCCACAAAGCGGGCGGCCGCGGACGGAGAAAGGGCAGCCGCCGACAAGGAGCCGGCGATGCCCGGGGGTCCGCCTGGGGCAGCGGACGGAGAAAACATGTATAGGATTTACTGGCAGAAGGTAAAAAGTGCCTCAAGCAAAACAAAGCAGGAACAAGCTAAACCGAGGGAGGCTGGACACATGAACACGGTACCGCTCGAGGTAGTCCTCCTCGCTAGCCTCCGAGTCAGCGGTAGCCGAGTCAGCGGTAGCCGCCCGTGACGGCGGCGACGCCGCGGCAATGCCCAAGGACCGGCGTGACCCGACCGATGCCGGGGAGGAAGCAGGCGAGCTCGGACCAGCAGCAAGCACCCCAGTGGTGTCGAGCTCTCCGGAGGCACCCGACGTCACAGTGAGGGACGGAGACGCCTCCGAGTCGCCAGCTCCGCGCCCATCGTCGGGGCCACTCGAAGGGTTTCCCCCATCGGAGTCGGAGACCTCCGGCGAAGACTCCTCGGGCGACTCGACAAAGTCCGAGGAGGAGCTGTCCTCTGGCTCGAGGAGTGCTTGCGCCCGCAAGGGCGTCATGCGCCTCGCACCAGACAAGAGCGCCTCCAGCGTCAGCTGCATAGTGAGGCGCTGATAGGTGGCGGCGCGTTTGCGAGCCAAGACCTCAGCAGCAGGTCCGTCATCAGGCACGAAGTGCCGACCAAACGCCGCATCCTCAAGAGGCATTGAGCGCTGAGCAATGATGTCCGCAAGATACCAGATGAAGCGGAGGGTGTCAGGATGCAGGGTACCGTCCGTCGAGATGGCAAGAGGGATGAACGCTCGAGGAGGAGTAGTCATAGCATATGCAGCGCGATGTTTGCGAATCTTCTCAGACGCTGCAACATGGAGGGCGTCGAGGTTGACCTCCCCCCACTTGGTCAGGTCGGCAGAGCTACCAATGTAAGGGTGGACCAACGTCACGTCCGCCATCAAGCCCTCGTACTGCTCGGACCCTCGATCGCGGATTCCAGGGATGTGGATATCGCCCTTCATCTTGCGGCCATGAGGATGGGAGGGTACCTGCCGTCGAGAACGAGGATCCCCCACTGTATCGATGACGCTCTGAAGACCAGCTTCGTTCAGCATCGACCGAATCGTACGAGTAAGGTTGTCATGCGCCGTGGGAAGCTTGGAGGATCGGCGTTTGCAGGTCTGGAGATGATGTGCAGCAACGGAGGGATCGAGCTCGCGCTGACATCCATCACATTCCGTCGGACACTGGCAGATCGGCATGCCATGGAGATAGCAGTCGAGCATCTGAGCATAGCGGTGCGGGAAGGCCTTGAGGGGGTAGTAGCTCGAGACTCGCATCGGAGAGTGGCTCAGGTCTCGCTCAGGAAAATGAGCGAAGATGGTAGACTGCAAGACCCTATCCTGCGACTTGAGCGAGTGTGTCCTGCGGCTGTGCAAGGTGAGGATATCACGCTGCTGATCGGTCAGCGCAGCGCGAGCATGCACATGGCGAGGGAAGACGCGCATGACAAGAGGGGTCACATTTCGCTGCGCAGGCGGAGGAATGAAGTGCTCATGAGACGAGTCGACGAGAGCGCGCAAACCAGGGATGTGTACCACAGATGCCGGGGGGCGTCCTGCGTCATCAGGCACAGCAGCCGGGGCAGGTGGGATCGCCGCGCCATCTGCAGCCGGTGCAGGAGCCTTCACACGACGGTAGAGGATCGCTCCAGCATTATGAACGAAGTCGTGCGCCTCAACGAAGAAGGTCGCCAGAGGATGCTTCTGGGCACGGAGAGATCTCGAGCAGTGAACGTCCAGGCTATGAGGAGAGGGCAACATCCGGGACATGGGCTGGTCAGAGTACCAAGCGAGGAAGCGAGCGATAGCCGTATAGTAAACAGCGGGGTGTAGACCCTCAGAGGGCGTGAACTCGTCCCCTCCCCGACTATGCGGAAGCTCCCGCTTGAACCTCGCAAACTCTAGCAGGTCGGGATGCGCGGCGAGGTACTGCGAGGAAGGCCAGCGGTGGTATTTCTCAAGCGCCAGGTGGACAGAGAGGTCAAAGCGACGAATCTGTGACTGGACCCGCGGGAGAAACGGAGATGACCCCTGGAGGAAGAAGCGCAGCTTCTGGAGATGGCTCGCCCTCACCAGCGTCTTGAACATGAAGCCATGCTGGACGAGCCACTGCTGGCAGACCCGGCATCGCCAGCCCAAGCGCAAAGCCGCGCAGACAAGCAAGCAAAAAGAAAGCAGGAACAATCTTTTGCTTGAGACACTTTTTACCTTCTGCGAGTATACCTCTGAGCACTCGCACAAGGTAAAAAGCACTTTTAACCTTATGCGAGTAGAACTCTAGGCTTTAAAAAGTGCCTCAAGCAGAAGAAAGCAGGACGGTCTTGCTTGTCTCTGCTTCTTCTGCTGGAGGCACTTGAAGTTTTACCTTGTGCGAGTAAAACTCACCTAGTCATGCATGAGGAACAAAGGCGGTGCAAACACACAAGACAACAGGAGCCTCAAGCAGAAGAAAGCAGGAAGAAGCAAGGCAATGCCATTGTCTTGCGCCAGATACCAGACAGTGAAGCGGAGGGTGTCGAGTCGGCACACGCCAGCTCTAACGGTCAGTCGGACGCCTACGGGTATTGCCTGTAAGGCCGCTGGCCTCTGTTGAGTGCTGTGTATTTGTCGCTTGTCGCTAAATTCTTGGCAGGTGTTGTACATGCGCATCTGATCGTTTACTTTCAAGTCACGAGCAGCCTCAGGCGATCAAGTCAGTCACCGACGACCAACAGACACACCACATGCAGCTGCTTCAAGGCTTCTTACTACTGGCGTGATCGAGATGGCTGCGATCTTTCTTGTTCGTCTGGTACGAGACGTTAACTCCCTGCTGTCCATTGGCAGCCAACGACAACGAGAAGAAGTCGATGCTCAGAAACAGAGAACCCCCAGCGACCTCATGAGCTCAACCTGTGCGCTTGTCATTCCAACCCTCGCAGATTCTTCTCACCTTCTTCGACTTGCCTATGATGCAGTTCGCGTGAAGAGCTACGATGGAAGAGTTCACCTGCTCGAACCTTTCTCTGTGTTCTGCTCAGTCTCTTTCCTTCTCCTCGCTTCCTTCACCTGTCCAACGCCCAGCCAGTTGCGTACGCACGCGCGTCAGCTGCGCAGAACTTGGAGGGCGACAAGTCGCGATGCTCGTAGCGTTGCCGGGGCACCTGAGCCAGTCGCGCTCGCCCCTCCGCCAGCCAAGCCCGAAGGCGATTCCAGAAGTGAATCTGCTCCTCACCATCATTTGATCCCGTCCTGCCCCTCTCCTCTCCCGCTCCCTCCCCTGCTGCTTTCTTCGCTCCCCCCTCCCTTGCTTTTGCTTCTTCGCCGCTCCCCTGCTCCTGCCTCTCACCTGCACTCGCTGGTCGTGGGAGTAGAATCGATTCTTGTTGTGCCTGACGTCACCTGGAGGAGGAGGCACCTTGCCCTGCAGCACCTCGTCCAGGAAGCGCTTGCCTGCTTGTCCTGCCCGCACGAAGTAGAATCCAGCGTTCGGCTCCCCCTCCTCCGTCGCCTCTCTCGGAGGGATCTCGGCGCAGTGGTTCTGCTGGTAGACCAGGTCGCAGTTGTGCTCCACCAAGTCGACGGGGTCGCGGAGGAGCATGACGTCGATGTCAATGAAGAGGACGGAGAGGCTGCGATCCAAGAGCTCTCGCACCAGCTCCATGCACCGCCACACGATGCGGTAGAAGATCTCGCTCATGAACGAGCCTTCCTCCGACATGCTCGCCCCTCGAACAGCACGTGCGTCCGAACCTTGGGGTGATGCTCCTCCATCCATCTTCCTATCTGAGGGTCAGCCAGCCCGACCATGTACTTGAGCCCCAGACGATCCGCATGGCAGATCCAATGCTGGAGCAGGTCCTTATACCCCTCGTTGGCAACCACAAGCACAAGCACATTCTCCTTCCCGTCTGCCTCCTTGGACTGATAGAAACCAGCAGACTGCCATCCTTTCTCCTCCAGCCCATCTCGAGGCTCAAACTGCAGTTTCCTCCTCCACCCTTGCAGGCCAGGGGCGTTCCCCTCATCTCTTCGCTCATGCTCTCCGTGGACGAGCACCTGGAGGAGTTCGATGGAGGAAGGCTGGTTGATGTCTTCCCACTCAAGCTGCAAGGCGAGCATGACCTCGTGCTCTCCTTCTCGCATCGGCGGGAGAGTGACGTTCCCTGCCTGCTCGACCTGACTCACGACATGCAGCCACGAGTGAGCCCATTCGACCCCGTCGACGAGGACGAGCAGCTGATACCGCCCCACCAGCTCGGCATGCCTCACCACATACCGCAACGTGACAGGTAAGGCAGGAAGCAGTCTTGTTCCATTGGCCGGCCACAGAGCGTGAATGGAGGTGGACGAAGCGTGCGAGAGGATTGGCGATGAATTGGAAGCAGAAAGCGAGGAAGGAGCAGCTTGAGTCAACGACGAGTGGGGAGAGGAGGAGGAGGAGGAGGAGGAGGAGGAGGACGAGGAGGAGGGCGAGGAGGAGGATGACGAGGAGGAGGGCGGGAGGACCAAGCAGGCCAAGTAGAGGAGGAGCAGTCGCTGCCATCCCATGGCTAAAAAAAGCTTGTAAAACAAAATGTGGATGTGGTGGGGATGAGGGTCAACGGAATCTTTGAGTTCAGTGGAAACAAGAGGGAGGAGAAGAGAAGGAGAAGAGAAGGAGAAGAGAAGGAGAAGAGAAGGAGAAGAGAAGGAGAAGAGAAGGAGAAGAGAAGGAGAGAAGGAGCGAAGGAGAGAAGAAGAGAAAAGACCGGGAGAGCGAGGTGGGCATGTCTTCCAGGCGCGATACTGCGCCATCGGCTCAGGTGGAAGAAGATGAAACCAATCAAAATGCTGCCACCGAGTCAAAGCCAAACAATCCATTCAAGATGCCTTCTGACGAAGAGATTTTCTCTCTGAGAGATGATGAGAGGGCGAGAAAAGAAGAGGAGAGGAAAAAATTCCTCTCGCTTCCTGTTCACATGAAGACGACATGGAGTTCTCGGGCAAGCACAACCTCGAAGAACATCCTCAAGGATGATGATGATGGTAAGGCATCAGGGCTCGACAAGTCCGGGAAAAGAAGCGCCGGCATGAAAACAACCGATCAGATATTCCGGCAAGAGAGGAGAAGAGAGAAGGAGAACATGACAGATTTCATCGAGAAGAAGCGGCAGATGTTTCTCGTTCAGATGTCCCTTGACACCAAGCGCGCGGAAATCCGCAAGCTTGAAGAACAGGCGCAGCAGAGAGAAGAGGCCCTGCGAAAGAGCGAAGCAATGCTGGAGGAGGTGAAGAGGACGAACAGGTCGGTGAACGAGTAACCTAGTTGACAGGATGCAGCGAGGTTTGAAAGTTTTCTGAAGAAGAACGATCAGAATGCGGTTGAGGCAATAAGGAAAGCAGAGCAGGAGACGAAAGCCAAGCAAGATAAGGTGCAGGAGATCAAGAAGCTCAACGCTCAGATCGCGGCGGTCAAGAGTGAGATGACCAAGTACGAGGAGTCGCTGGAGGAATGTCAGGTGACAAGACGTGGAGGAGGTGAAGGAGGCGTCTGACGTCTGCTCAGGCGTACAAGAAGTTCCTTGACGACCTGACTCCTCACGAGTACATCAAAGATCAGCTCGAGCAGCATGAGTTGGAGAAAGATGAGATGCGCCACAAGAGGAAAGCTGAGAGAAAGGTAGAAGAGGACAAGGCCGATGGGAGGGTATGGGGAAGAGGAGAGACAGAGACAGGGAGGCGGGGCAGGGGGCGGGGATGAGGACGACGGGGAGAGGGAAGGGAAGGTGGGGAAGTGGAGGAGGAGAGGTAAGGAAGAGGTGGGGAGGTCGGGGGGGACAGGAGCCGATGCTGGTGGCTGAAGGAGCGAGCAGGCGTTGCGAGCAGCAGAGGACAAGAAAGCAGAAGAAGACTTCACAGCAGAGATGGAGGCCCTCAAGAGCGTGAAGGGGAAGCGACCAGACCCAAAGGTGCTGCAGCAAAAGGAGGTGGAGTACCAGGTGCGTGCTCCCTGTCTCCCTGGTGCCGCTGAACGACCGAGCAGGAGTGGAAGGAGCAGAAGGCGACGGAAAGAAAGTTGGAGGATGCGCAAGATGAGACGTGGGACCCTGACGAGGGGAAGGCGTGGGAAGTTCCGATGTACTTCACGAGGCCGCAGCAGCTTCTCGACATCTTCGCGGCGCTGGAGGAGCGAAACTTGTTCCTCATCCAGAACTCGCAGGAGACGGAGGAGCAGCTGGAGGAGCTGAAGCAAGTCGGTACTGATGGTGGTGGGGGCTGAAACTGAAGGAGCGCAGAGACTGGAGAGCACGAAAGCCAAGATGAACGAGGAGACCGAACAACTCAACTCTCAGATCAGCACCCTCAAGGTCTCATCCCCCTCTTTCTCACTCTCATCCCCCTCTTTCTCACTCTGTCGTAAGGGCGCCATCTCTGCCGAAGAAATCAAGGCCTCGGCCTTGCGAGAGAGAGCGAATCCGCTCAAGGTGAGCAAGAGGAGGACGAGAACGTGGAAGATCAGCAGCAGCAGCACAGCCGCAGCACAGCAGCAAGAGTAGCGAGAGCAGCAGCAGCACAGCAGCAGCAGCAGGATGAGCGAGAGGAGTAGGAGCAGCAAGAGCAGGAGCAGGAGCATGAGCAGGAGCAGGAGCAGGAGCAGGAGCAGGAGCAGGAGCAGATGACGCGAGAGAAGTGGGAGCATGAGCAGAAGGAGAAGCAGGAGAAGGAGGAGGAAGAGCAGGAGCACGAGGATGT